CTAAACAGCGCATATCTATACTATTAAGGCTTAAACATTCAATTAGCCTTCCTTAAAACTTATTCGAGTCCAATAATATTGAAAGGAAATCCGACAATGATAAATCTCCCCGGCGACTCTGCAGTCAGTAGGGCAACCGCAGCATTCGTTTCATAGCCAGCCCTTACCGGATGCGGCTGGCGAGCATTGTCGACCTGTTTATCTTAAATTTCTACCTAAAGTATTTCCATTTACCTCTATTAGTGCTGTACTTGTTCTCTCTCATCTAACAAGGTCTCTAAATTTTCCACTTGAGCACCTTTGATAGTGCCCACGGTCAGGGCCTTCATGTAGCAAATGTGCAGCAAGAATTGATTCAGAGGACTGTATGCATCAGTGAGATATGCTGACCATGTACAATGGCAGCGTTCGCTACCCTTGCCCCCAAACCAGGACGCGGTAGCTGCATTGACAACGACGCACTGCTCACGACAGAGGAGACGGCTTTGACGGCTGTTTGAGTAAAGACCACGATGAGGTCTGCAGAATGACTATGCAACGATAGAATCTCACAGAAGGGTACTGCCTCATTTTAACCGCGTATGCACTTGTCCGTCGAAAAAAATGATAAAAATTCACTGGCATTCCTTTGGACGAAGGCCGAAACGACCTTGAGCCTATAGACGGCGGATCGATAGATATTGGGGGCTGTCAGCAGACAGAGTTGCTGCTCCACCACAAGGAGCTACAAGCAATAAAAAGATGCATATATGAGGCTATGGCTTATGAGGAAGGCGCAGCTGCCCTGGGACTCCTCGAGCCGCAGCAGCAGCACTTAGCAGCTGAAATACACCGAAGAATCTGTAGACTCTTGGAGCCGTGTTCTCTACTGGCTCCTGATGCAGAGCAGAGGCAAAAGCATGAAGAAAGGCAGAAGCAGGTTTATGACAGCCCCCAGACACAGCCAGCAGAGGCGGAGACGGAGGTTCGACTTCTGCTTCAGACGCACGCAACTTTGGCAGCCCTCCTTGACGATAGGCTAAAGGGATGGTCCTCAGCTCAGCCACAACTGCAGCCACAGCTGCAGCAGCAGCTACAGGCACAGCTCCAGCCACAGCTGCAGCCACAGCAGCTGAAACTGCAGCTGCCCATGCAGCAACAGCATCGGATACAGCAACAGCAACAGCAACTACTCTTTCAGAGGAACCCGCTTCTACAGCTCCGCCAGAAACAGCTGCAGCAGCACCAAGTTGCTAATCAAGCACAAACGCTTCCAATCTTTTGCCAGGAGAAACAACAGCTGATGCTGCAGCAACATCACCTGAGCCAGCGACACAAGCTACAGCAGCATCTGCTTCAGCAACAGCACCTTCAACAGCAACAACAACAGCTGCACCTGCAGTTGAAAGAAACGTCACAGTGGCGATCCGCTGAAGAGATACCCAACCCCCAGCAGACACAGATCCCCCACAATATGCAGCAGCAGCAGCGGCAAGCGTGGGAGCAGATGCAGCAAAAGCGCACGTGGCAGGTGAAAAGTTACAACACTGCGTGTTCTGCAGCCAAGGAAAGTCGAACAGAGGTTCGATTGGCCTCTTTTGGTGGTGCTGCTAGTGGCGGTGAACCTGCGGCGATCGCCCACTTTAGTCCCATGGCTTTTGGTGCATCAGGAGGTTGCAGCCTGCAGCAGCTGCCGTTGAAGAA